TTTATTTTTTACATGACATCGGCGTTTTAAGGGAGTAGTCATATGTTTAAACTATATTAACTTAATAATGAATTAAATTAGTCAGTTCTGACAGTCTACCGTATTGTTGTGAGCTAATTGCTATGAAATGAATTCTTGTCAGTACATACTTTGTATCCATAAACAACCTTTATCCCTTTTCTGTGTCATCTCCTACGCTTCCCTCACGTCCTACACTTTGGGTAAAAATAGCGACTTAGTATGCGAAGACAAAAACTCAATTTTTGTAATAAACTGTGTTAATACGTTAATGTTACAAACAGTAACGCATATAATTTTCAATTTTTAAATAATGTATTTTTTACATTTACTTTTTGGTATTGAATCACTTCAATAAAGGCATATTTTTAAATTTTGTTACTTGTTAGTGACGTGAGTCATAATAATAAAACTAAAATGCGTAGGATGGAAATATCGGTTATTCGACATCTCAGCACTTGAAAACTAGGCACCGAGAGTCGAGTTGCCCCAAATTATTTAAATTCGTTTATCATTCGTCAACTCGTTCCAGATATAAAAGTACACTGGAGAAAGTAATGTTTATTACATTTTATATTGAAAATATATTTTTTTAGTAAATATTATACACTACCGATCCGCCCCGGCTTCGCACGGGTGCAATGTAAATACTACTAATGTGGTATAAGTGTGAAGTAATTAATTATACTATTATTATGATAAGACTATAACACCACAGGACATATTTTTATATGCAATATTTATAGGCCCGTTCCGCTCCTGTCAGCCGCATATCTACTGAGATATTTACTTTAATGATATGCTGCAAAAGGCAATTTTGATCTACATTACATGCACAACGTATCTAACGTTGTGCATTTGTTTTGATAAGGAACAAACTGTATTGTTCAAAGTAACTTCGTAAATGACTCATTATTTTTTGTAATTTGTAAAAAGTAAAAAGTGGTGGTGTGGTGACGGATTAAGAATACAGAGTGTCACCACCCCTATTCATCCCGTGGGTGTCGTAAGAGGCGACTAAGGAAGCACAAACAGGAACTACGCAGGACAACGGCACTGCAGAGAGAAGGAAAACTTGAAACAAACCCTTTTTTTTTTTTTTTAACGTGTGGACCCTACTGTGAACTACCCTGTGAAACAAACCCTATACCAACACGTCTTGCCAGCGTGGTATAGTAGGCCAAAACCTCCTTTCTAAGGAGAGGCCTATGTCCAGCAGTGGACTTTTAAAGGCTGTTGTTGTGATGATGATGATGAAAAAGATAAAAATGGTTACTGTGGGTTATCATAGACATAGACATATACCATCGCGGACATTTTTATACATCCTTTTAAGATATACAATCTCGTAAGGTTTAGTTAGCGTTTGCAATGTTAGCGCACAAAAACGTATTTTATACGACAAATATTTTAAATTCTCGGATTTTCTCCACTATAATATGCATGTATTATACATTTAAACATTCCTCTTGAATCAAATGTTTCTGTTGTTGAAAACGGAAAAAAAATCCTTTGCTTCCTTTAAAAGCTCAAAGCGTACAAGAAAAAAAAACGACTTCATTTTATACTGTGTAAAGGTAGAGTGAATAAAGGAATATATAAATAAAAATTATCACAAGATTACTGATGCTATGTTTAAAATAAATTAAACATTTTATTGCTTTATGAAAATAGTTTTATTTGTGTTACTTCTAAATTTCTTTTGCTGACTCTACTTTCCTAACACATAAATTGCTTTTTTTTATTAGTGGTCGTAACATAATACTCAAAAATAATTATTCTATCAAAGGGGCATTTGGAACCGCGGTCCCGGTCCCTTAAGTCCCACGACCCAGACGCCTTTAGATTAGAAAAAAAAATAGTCTAGATTATTCTTATAAAATCAAAATTTGAGTAAATAGATGCACCTCTTTATCATTAAACATAATTAACATTCATTCAACAACATTACTTATTGTTAGAAATCACAGGTTAAGTATACATATATTTTATTTTATTCTTTTCCCACAAATAACAATTAATTGGACAAGGGCTGACTTAATGCCACAGGCAATTTTCTCTCAGTCTACCTTTAGGGGGTAGGTAAATGTCTACATAGGTGCACTAGAAATTAAGTGTTTTGTAATTAAGGCGATGGGCAGAAACAGTGTGACAGATATACATGCATACTGAAATACACACATGTATATACTGGTGTATATACATGTGTGTATTCCAGTATGCATGTATTGCATATGCTGAGTTACATATCTACACATATAATACAATATATTAGATTTTAAGAATTTGATGAATCTACTAGTGTCTAGAATGCGAACTAGGACTTTCGTCCGATATTATGTTTCTTACTTATATTGACTAATTATTGTATTTGAAAGTATAAATTAAATATGCAATAATCACAGATACCAGGTAGCCCTTTCCTTATAACTAAAAATTACATATCAATCAAGTAGAACATTTTAAAATTAAGATGTAAATAATAAATAAGTAAAAATCTATGTTTGGCATGCCTTTTAGTTTTTTTACCTCAACTTTTCTAAACAATGACCTACACATATCTGATTCTTTTTTAATATACACATGTTTCTACAGAACTTTTGTATTACAAATTCAAACATAATTATACATACATACGCAACATGCTAGGTTGAATAAATAAAACTAAATCCGTTAAACGCTTTTGTGCTAGACTATCTTTTAATACTAAAATATCGTTGGTCCAAATCAACTATATCAAAAAGATTACTGCCATGGTTTACGACACGGTGCGAATTGACCTGAATTGAATTGCAAAAAATATTAACGCCGATTTAATTTTACACCATGGTCCCAAACAGCGTCTTCAAAAAGCGTCCGTGTGTAATTCGCATCGTGGGTTGAACGGCTCGTGGTGACAATCGACGCTATACCCGATTTAAAATATGGTTTTTTATTGCCAGCTTTTGCCATTAAATCATTTGACAAGACGTAAATCAATTTAGCCAAGACTTTCTTAAAAACAAATTTCTTGTTCTTGTCATATCAAAAATAAAATTACAATTATGATATAAGTAATGACTATATGAAGGTAACTTATTAGAATTAACAATAAACTCATTAACTTTTTCGTGACGGCAAAACTTTGTTTGATTTATAATTCAAAAACAATCTGTCCTTAGGCAATTGGTAACACGGCTTATTAATATAATCGATCATTTATATATTGGAATTGCGATAACCCAGTAGAGCTACACTAGTATTCCAGTGATTGTTTAATTTGATATGAAGTTAATCATATTATGACTGGTCGTTTGATCTGACAATTGAATGTTCGATTGTATAGCTCGCCTGTTTACCCATTAAACTTTCATCGATCGGATGCACTTTAGTATGCATTCAGCTAAAGTAAGCAATTTGTATTACCATCAGGTATTACGTTGGTATATTAAATGTCGATTAGCAATGAAAACGATGCATAAGCCAGAGAACCTACCGCAACGCGACCTGCGTTATCTTATAGGTCAGGGATCAGCGAACTAAATAATGTAGTGAGTACACACTAGGTTTTTTATCTCAAGTATCGTTTCATAATGAGCATGATACTCTACATTTTTAAATGTGGGCGGTCGTAGCTCGAACTAGAATAGATTTGTCTAGATTATGTTACGTACTATTCTAGTAACATTGAGACTAAAAGTGAAAAGTTATTTCTTCTATGTGAATGTATTCTAGTTATTCATTCATAGTTTAAATTTTACATTTGATTCACTTCTTAAAAACAGCTTTTTTACTAACTTCGATTCAGTAAAATATATTTCTATGACGAACTGCACATAACAAACAAAAACCAGGAGGAAAATTATGAAAATTAACTTTGTATAAATACTGATTCCTCACCCAGTACAATCATGCATTCAGTTCAGCTTTATGACAGTGAGCAATCAAAGTACCTGGTAAATGTACTTTTATTAACTTTTCCTTTACATTTTTGTGAAACTGTGTTGACTGTTATTTAATGTGTGAACGATGTTTCAACCATATTGGTGAAGGTGTATAGTAATTGTACACAAAATAACAGTTGCAGTTGATTTTAGTCTAGATATGTACAAACGGCAAACGAAGTACCGTTGAAGTAGTATGAAGTACCTGTGATTTAAATAAACAGTAACTGGATAAATTGAAACTAATAACGCAGAAGCAATATCAGATTATATATAAATATATATATATATATAATAAATATAAATATATATAAATATATGAGTGAAGAAATGTATTATTACCATTTTACACACATGTAAACGTAAATATATGTACATATCGGAATAATGTAAACGTACATGTAAACCTGAACAGGTATTTCATTTACTGTGGGTACGTGTTAAAATAAAGTAGCGCCACTGGATGAAAAGTTAAGAAGTAATAGGTTATCTTGGTATGGACATGTCATGTGAAGGGAAAATGTGGCGAAGAAAGTTTTTGGTATGGGAGTTGAAGGGTATAAGAGAAGAGGAAGACCAAAGAAAAGGCGGATGGCCTGTGTGAGTAAGGATCTGGCAAGGAAGGGAGTAAACAGCGAGATGGCGCATGATATAGCAGAATGAAAAAATCACACTTACTGCGCCGACCCCATATAAAATTGGTATAAGGGTGGTAGTCAGATGATAATGACGTTGTTAAAATTAATAAATCAGAAACGTTTAACACGCACCCGAGCCCGGGTTAATTCAAGAAAATTTGCAACAATCTCTCAGATAACCGTTTACATTGTTCCACAAAAAAATTGTATGCGTTTAAAAAGCTCGCACTAGACGCATGCCAGCATAGCGGCACTTCAAAGTTTGACCTCGCAATTACTAAAATTGGTTTGATTTACCATTTCAATAGTAACAAAAAGCTTATTTTTTCCAACGGCGTGGACGATGGAGGCGTCGTTGTAATCTCGACCGAGTGACTTTCGGCCAGAGGGTCCATTAAGAATCGGTGGGAGGACGCTGGGCTCACGTTAAGCAGCAGTATTTTGAGCTGTGACAACATGTCGTTAAGGCGTAGTTTCTGTCGGAGGTGTTCGGTAGGCACGAGAGGAGAGCACTCGAGGTCGGATGCTGAGTGCGGCGGGAGATGGGGTGGCGCGGGGGAAGAGTGGGACAAAATCGATATCGTCGGGCGGCGCGCGACGTCTTGCGCCCCGACCCTCCTGCCCCTCTAATGAATGAGAGCGAGCAGTCATCTCTGCGGATGGCGGCTTCAGCGATACGGCACGCCGCCATCGCCAACGTCGCCTAGACTCAGCTGCGCTCCCGATGCAATGTATTACTGCCCGCAACGATAACAAACCAACTGATCATCCCTGTATACACTGTAGCTGCAATTTCATGAATCTTTTTCGATATTTTGTATATCCTTTTTTGTATCAAAGTACTTTGTTGGTTCATTACGATACTCAACAGCACATTTGAATAAATACTTATTATGTAAAGTGCAGTGTTTACTTGATATAAAACAAGAACAACCTGAAACATGTGTCTCTGTCTACATTCTTATTTGTTTAGAGATTTGATCATATATTAAAACTCTGCAAAACAATCTTAAAGATCACTAAAATTTAAAAAAAGTTGTTTGAAAATTCAAAGCGTGGCGTAGCTTACAGAAAACTAGTAAATGATGGAATAACTTACTACAGTATATAGATAGACTGCAAGACAATAAAATCGAATAATATAATATAATTCACTTGACTCACTATTTCTTTAGAATTTGAGTCCCACATTAATATACACGTGTTGCTAAGGGCCACGCGAAATATTCATCAAATGCCACCTACAGCTTTTTAACAATGTTTACGTTGGCTTAATAAATATTCTCAATATTTATGAAAGGTTAATAAACTAACGGCTATTAATAAAGTATTTGTCAGCTTATTTAAACTACTATTTATTATAATAATGTTATGGATTTAATAAATAAATATTTACGTTCATATGATCAACCAAGTAACTAAGTACCTTTTTTTTCACATGTGGAAACCCCCTCGGGCCCTCACCCCACCGGGGTTTACGGTGGGATGTTGTTTCAGAATCGGACCGACTAAAACCACATGGTGTGCCACTCTGCGCTTGTAATAGGATCTGGGAACTGCTGTTATTGAGACATCCGGATCCCTCCTAGCGCCTGCCCACAATGACGCGGACACCACCTTCGGGTTCATTCTCTATTTAGGCGACATCCGGCACAGGCGGCAGTCGCCTCCTCGCGGCTGGCCGTTATGGCGGGTGGAGGGGAAACCCGTCCCGTCCACCCGCAGCCACACTCAGGGCGGCATAAAGAGCCGGCAAGCGCGCCTCCGAGCGAATTGGGTCCGAGTGGAGGTCATCCTCCCGAGCTCTCTCCGCGGCCTCCTTCTGTGACATGACATCTTCACAGAAGGATGTGACCGCAGTAAAACATCTGTCGCTACCGGCCATGGAGATGTATAACGGCCGGTAGCGAGAGATCCCCTTCGATGACTGAAACGAGAACCCGACGATGCGACGCCCAAGCCGGCTAAAATGCCAGCGTGTGTTGAGCCGAGTCCTCATTGCAGTCGTAGCGGTGACAAGCAGGATTCAATTCCCTCCTAGCGACCGAGTGCAGGTATCTTCCGAAGCAGCCGTGCGCGGAAAGAATCTGCATCAACCGGAAGGAAAGGGGCCCGTGCTGACGCCCTGACGAATGGACGATGACCGGCTAGAGCACCTCCACGGCGGCAAAGCCAGCACGTGGAACCTCCAGCCGTGACGACCAACCAGCCATCTTGGCTCGGCGAGCGGCCTCACGCCACTCGCTTACCTCTTCAGGCCGACTGCCGCTATCCGCCCGGAACTCAGCCATCCACCGATATACTTCGGCGCACACTTCCGCCTCCAAATCCCACTGGGGAGTTCCAACCAACGCGCACGCTACATTCGTCGACACGGTATGGCTATAACCGAGTACGGCTCTAACCGCCAATACCCTCTGAGGACGTCAAAAGTGCGCCCTATTCAGGGCGGTCAGAGCCGCCGCCCACACCGGTGCACCGTACAGTGCCATTGACGGGACAAACACCGTGTACAGCCGTCTCGTCGTGACGCCAGGTCCACGTCAGACAGGCAGACGCAACGCCGACCAGCTTTGAAGCAAGCTGTCGGAAGTGCTCGTCGTAGAGCCACGTCCCGTCGAAGATCAAGCCCAGATACTTCATCTGGGCCACAACCGGTACAAGGACCGACTTGACAACGATTGAGGCGCCAGAGGGAGGACCACGACGGGGCCCATTAAATAAGAGGGCCTTATCCAGGGCCACCCGTAAGCCCAGCGCCTCAATGCGCTCGACCACTACAGAGACTCCCCTGGTGGGCAGGCGCGCCGCCTCATGAAAGTCCGCGAATATCGAACAATAAATTTTGAGAAATATAATCGCCATACATTAAATAAATGGCACATTTACTACAGGCTTCTTACAATTTCCATTATAACACATGGGCTAAAAAGTCCCGGGCCTAACAAAGAAAACACAGTTTTTTTGGTTCAAAATTAGCTTTAATCATCAACATAATCTCCATCAAGAGCAACGCAATCATTCCAGCGCCACTCTAACATTTCAATACCACTTTTGTAGAACGATTTATCTTTTGCCTCAAAATAGGCCTCAGTTTCAGCGATAACCTCTTCATTCGTGCGAAATTTCTTACCGGCGAGCATTTTTTTCAGGTCTGCGAACAGCCAATAGTCGCTGGGAGCCAAATCTGGCGAATACGGTGGATGTGGGAGCAATTCGAAGTTCAATTCAAGTAGTTTTGCCATTGTTTTGATTGACTTGTGACACGGTGCGTTGTCTTGATGAAACAATTTTTTTTCTTTGATATATGCGGTCGTTTCTTTGCAATTTCTGCCTTCAAACGCTCCAATAACGCTATATAATATTCACTGTTAATGGTATTTCCTTTCTCAAGATAGTTCGTGATCGTTTTTGATCAACAGTGAGTAAACGCGGCACCCACTTTGAACAGAGCTTTCTCATAGTCAAATGCTCATGCAATATAAAGCCAACACGTTTGTTTTGATATCTTTGCGATGTCAGCTAACTCACGCAACTTCACTTTTCGATCATTCAAAACGATTTTGTGGATTTTTTTTATGTTTTCTGGTGTTATCGCCTCATTTGGACGTCCACTGCGTTCTGCATCATCGGTGTCTCTACGAACACGTTTGCAGTCAGCAAACCAACGTTTTATTGTTCTTTCTGATGGAGCGGAGTCCACATAACACTTTTCAAGCCTTTGAACGGTATTTTTTCCCATCAAGAAGCAGTGTAAAATTAAAACACGAAATTGTTTTTGATCCATTGTTTTGAAAATAACAAAAGTAGCGTCACTCTTAGCACAATAATACTAGTAAGATTTTTAGGCAATTGGAATAGGCAATTGATTCATAAAGAAAGTAAGTGTTTGCCTAATTTGTGTTGCTTTTATTACGAACTAAACAAAATTTCTCGAAAATTACAGTCATGGCCAATAACACAAAGTAAAATATCAGTAAAATAGCACAAAACCCCTAAGTTTATACATCTGTTTAATTTGGACATGGACGCTTTTTTAAGACGTCATTTGGGACCATGGTGTAAATCGACATACATATGTTTCTTGTACGTTGAAAAACCATAGCAGTACACTTTTTGACGTTGTTGATTTGGACCACAACCAATTTTTTTAACATCTCGTGATTTTCGTACAGTTAAGTTAAAAAAAAGTTAATAATAATAATGTCGACCTGTGGGATCGTTGGACCTGTCGGAAATCGTTGTACCGATAGTCATATCGGCCTGTGGAATAATTGCTAAGAGCCTCGACTAACATCTTCAGAGGCTTGCGTTAAGCAGTTGGATTAACGGCCTGATGCAGAGAGCAGTTCTCGATACGGCACGTATTGTGAGGACGTTTCAGTCTCTGGAGTCCTAACCACCGATATCTTGGTCCTTGCACCCGATACCGATGGTACAATATTTTTAAAAGTATTTTTTTTTTGTACATAAATACATTGAAAAATGTAAGTTTTGCAGTTTTGCGTAGAAAGAGAGAACATCACGTTGTTATATCACAGATACACGGTTTGAGAAAGGAAAGGAAACTCATTGACGTTTTAGAAGGCTGATATTATTTAAGAAAATTACACCATTCAAACTAGTAACAGGACATTGGTACTTTATGAGATAAGAAGGTTAGTTCCCAGTAGGCCGGTCAGTCTCGACTGCATCTAGAATAGATAAGAAATAGCTGCCTTAAACTGGGTCAACAGAACCCGGAAGAATGTCTGCATCGCACCTTTATTTTTCTACCAACGTAGTACGTATAGGTAAGCGTTTATAAAAATGTTAACAAAATGATTGTGACCGACGACTATTTGACCTAATGTATCGGTTCATTGACTTCTATCTAAACTTTTTGCCAATGTTTTGACAGGAGCCAAATTTTGTTTGTTTCATTTATTTGTATTTATTCTTTTAGTAACCTATTTTTTGGAAGAACAAAGGGACGAATACATTATAATTAGAAACTTGAAATTTAAAATTTAATATGACATAAAATAATAAATAAATGATAATGACAAAAAAACATTAAGAAAAAAGGTTCAGTCAAAATGAACGTTATAGATTCTAATAAATACACAATTGTCGCACTGATAGAATTATTGCGTCAACATATTTGATATCTGAAGTGTGCAGTAAAGGTAACAGATGATACGGCACGGGGTGTTACCGCGCTTGTTTACGCAACGTGATCTCTGCCCTTAAGGTCGTAGATTGTGATAGATTTCAATAAAGGCACGTTAAACAGCTCGAGACAGAGTTACACTGTCTATCTGTAAGCCAATTTGCGAGTACTGCGTTATTGATTATTTGATAAAATTGAGCTGGCTACGACGTTTAACAATACTACGTACGTTGGCTACAATACTGTGACGTCGAAACATCGAGAGGTAAACATAATAAAAGACGACATCAATAACACAGTTGTACAACACCTGTGTATTTTGTGAATATTATTATAGAACAATTAGCAATAAATTGCTACATTACTGTTACATTATTTTGAATAAATGCAAAAGAAAGCCAAATGTAATGAAAACTAAATATAATCACGTAAAGTATCCAAGAAGACATCTGTTGCTTACCGAACGCATCATAGTGACGGCTCGCAGCGATTGCCATCGGAGCGTATCGGCCAGAGTCCTGAGCAGGGTGCCGGAGTCG